CACACACACATAAATATAAATTAGCCAGGTGTGGTGGCACGCGCCTATAGTCCCAGCTACTCCGGAAGCTGAGGCAGGAGAATCAGTTGAACCCAGGAGGCGGTTGCAGTGAGCTGAGATCGAGTACGACAGAGCAAGACTCCATCTCAAAAAACATAAAAATCAAGAAACTGTGACTCAGGCCCCCCGGCCTGGCAGTCTCAGGCCTCCGTGACACAGCCGCCTTCACATGCTGGCTGCGCTGGCTGTTCAGTCACTGGACACTGCAGGCCCGGGTCCCTGCTTTGTTTACTGTCCCCGGCACCCACGCTGTGGTGCCTTCCCGTTCCCAGCTCTACCCTCTACTCTGTTCATCACTCTCGCTCCCCGCCAGGGCCCACACTCACCTGCGCAAGGTACGCTCTATACAGGAAGACGTCCCTCTCCACGTCTCTCTCCGGGCTTGACAGCTGTGGGAACCAACGTGGGTCAGGACGCACAGTGGGAGGCCCAGCGCAGCCCACACAGGGTAAGCATGACAGACAGGCCCCTGTATGCTGGGGACAGGTGGCTTCTCTGGCAGGGTCGGAGGTCTAAGTCCTAGCCCTGATCCTCCGCAGCCCGAGAGTGGCCTCTGCTGGGGGTACCCTACACGGGCGATGCCTGATCTCATCCCGCGCTGACACCACCCCAGGAAGGAGGCTTGCTCCAAGTTCAGCGCCTGCTCCAGCCACACTTAAGAAGCCAGGGTGGTGCCCGCACCTCTCACTTCTGGACATGGGGCCACTGTGGATTGATTCCTGCTTTTGTCTCAAGACATTTTGAACTCAGTGTGGCTACCCCAGTGTGGTGACATCTGTGTCAAGCCCTGGCCAGGGGAGACCCCGGGGATGGCTCTGTACTTGGGCCACACGCCCACAGTCCAGCCATTGCACAGAACTGAGGGGACAGGAGGGAGGTGACCTGTGGCAACATCCATTTAGGGACGATAAGGAAGCTGCCCTTGAGCCCAGGCCAGGCAGGGAGGCTGGGGCCCCTCCTCCAGAACCCAGCTGTGCATGCTGTCCCCGGGCACTGGCTGACTTCCCGGGGTGCCCATGGCAGGCGGTCACAGAGCAGCTCAGCCCGTGGCCTGAGGGTGCTGGCCCAGGCCCCTGGGGGCTTCAAGAGGAAAGTACAGTTGGGAAGGGGCCCAGCCACCTCAGCATCACCACTCCAACAACCTCTCCACAGAGGGGACTGAGAAGGCTCTCAGCAAGAGGGCCTGCCAGCTGTCAAGGCACAGGGTCAAAGGACCCAGTACCCAAACCAGGGGAGTCACTCTGCCCTGTCCTCTGAGGCCGAGAAGCACAGATTCCAAGCCACATCTCTTCCTTCTCCCCAGCCTGAGGGAGGAGCGTGAATGTCAAACGTGTCCTCATCCCAGGCCCCCGCAGAACTGGCCCCAGCCTGACTCAGGCTGCCATTGCCAAGAGGCCCCAGCAGCTTCTGCTCAGGCCCTGCTGGCCAGAGTGGGTATCTGGCTGTGATTTGCAACAAGATGCCATCTAAATAAATAACTCCTAGAAGAACGTCAAAGGCATGGAGGGTGGAGGCTGCAGAAATCAAGCCCCACCTGCAAATGGGATGGACAGGTGAAAGACGTACCTTCTCGAGCATGTAAAGAAACATATTATAGGCCAGGCACGGTGGCTCATGCCTGTAATCCCAGCACTTTGGGAGGCCGAGGTGGGTGGATCATTTGAGGTCAGGAGTTCCAGACCAGCCTGGCCAACATGGTGAAACCCCGTCTCTACTAAAAATACAAAAATTAGTCGGGTGTGGTGGCGGGCACCTGTAATCCCAGCTACTCAGGAGGCAGAGGTAGGATAATCATTTGAACCCGGGAGATGGAGGCTGTAGTGAGCCGAGATCATACCATTGCACTCTAGCCTGGGCGACAGAGCAAGACTCTGTCTCAATAAAAAATAAGTAACTCTCAGTCAACCTTCTGAGGTGGACATCAGTTAGGTGACCAGCCCAGGGTTGCATGCCACGCTCAGTTAAAAAAGAGACAGGCCAGATGCAGTGGCTCACATCTGTAATCCCAGTGCTTTGGGAGGCCAAAGCAGGAGGACTGCTT